CCCTGCATTTGTTGCATGTTACCACTGCCACCTCCCCCGTAGTTTGTATAAGCATGGTGCATCATTACAGGCGCCATACCCACTACATATATTACAGTTTTTATTTCAGACTGTGGAAAATTGTCTAAGCTCTGGATCTTATCATTCGAAGTAGCAGAAACAGCCTCAATATTTTTCTATACCACCAATACCTATAACCTTGCTAATGTATGACACTGCAGGTAACAGAGACTATGTCTGCTACTTACTTTGGATAACCTGACTAAATCTTGCAATTTATACATCGATTATTTAAGTGACACGGTTGTTGTTTCTGATTTGATACAGGATTACGTGAAACATTATTGAGTTCAGAAACTGTTAAAATGGTAAGATAGCACTTAAAGAATGTAAGAATAAGGAAATGGTTAGCGCATCAATCATGCCAGCAATATGTCTTTTTTAATTATTATTTGAAATTTCCATGCATTTGCCATGCACTACAAAAGTAAAATAAGAACTAAATCTAAAAAGAACTAAGAAAAACCTTACAAGATACTATTGTTTCTTAATATTAAAATGAGATAATCGAAAGAACGTGCAACAAGACAGAAGTTATAGAGATTGTTTAGATACAAATCATTACGTTTCAAACACTGAATCTTTCTATAACCTCTGAGCAAAATTTATATACTATATGCAAATTATTTCGTAGATAAAACAATGGTCCATTGACAATGAACCATCGTGAAACGGTGGGAAAGTATGATCTGCGATTAACTGTCTTGAATTTTCGAACTGTTTGTCACCAGTGACATTACCGTGTTACAACAGCGTCAATGATTCCTAGTCAGGATTTCAGATTTCTGTGAGAAGAAACATCGAAACGCGTTTCTCACGGATAAATATTCAAATGTACGTCCAAATAATCCTTCGCGTCGACGAAAACACAAGAAAATTCGCAATATAGTATAGATCCAGCGACGGTATTTCTTCAACGGTTAGGTTAGTTTGAGAACTAATGTTAACTAACAAACAGATATGATCTCGATCGTTCGAAACGTCGATTAAAATGAAAAGAAAAGCTGACTTTCGACGATCTCGGAACACATTGAACACAGGGCCCTGTCAGTGAATGACACTCGCGGCAGGAAATAAGACGATCAGCTACAACCACAACATCTTCCTGGTAGTTCAAAGAGAATAGAAAATAATCGCGAAAAGGACGCGAGAGGACCGTCCAAAGAAACTAACATTTAGTGCGTGGAGAATTATGTCACCGGGGAGAAAATAGAAGGGTGCTGGTGTGTGTCTGAAAGAAAAACCGAAGCATCGGTCACGAGGGAATTTTGCTCAAAGGTTCGAGTCGTCAACAAACTGACAGTAATCGTTCGAGGTGCAGTACACGGTTTCTGAAAGTTCTTCGATATCGTTCGAAAAGTGCATGTGGCACATCACGTCTAACCAAAGAAACGCTTGAATGTGCTAGCGATCTATCCCCTGAAAGGTTAGTCGCGTGATGCGACTCGTACCGTAGTACATGTTTTCGAAGACGAAGAAGGAGATGAAAATTGAAAACTTACCCGCGGAGTCGGAAGTTCCTTGAAAAGGATCTCCGAGCTTCTGCCGCTTGTTCGGCGGGCCGTCCACCAGGTGGTCGGCCATGGTTCCTTTTCAGGGTTAATTATTTCTTGTTTCAGGCTGTTTACTCTCGGTAGCAAGTAAGCAGCGGCGGCGGCGGCGTTAGCGAGTCGTCGAGTCAACCGCACGCACGCACGCACGCAGAGGCAGGCAGGCAGGCACGTATACACGGGTAACACACACGAGCGAGCGAGCGAGCGAGCGAAACGCTGCACTACGCCACTAGAAGACCGCTGCTGATGCTGGTTACTGTTGCTGGTTCTTCCTCCTCGCTGGTAAAGCCGCGAATATTCACCAATCTCTTAGCGTATTCGCAGGCATGACAATAACAATGAGAACCGCGGCGCGTAGAGCGTCCCCGAGCACGCTTCGTTACACGATCAACCATTGGGCATCGTCGGGGGGTACGTCGAACCCCGCGCTAAAGCCCACACACGCACACACAGTAAATTTTGTCTCTCGACAGGCGCACGGGCCACTCGCGGCGAAGCACTGGACAGACCGAGAAGTTACCAGGACTTATCGAGTAATTTGGTAATCGCGAGGATCACCAGCGTGATATTAAATGTACACACCAGCTAAACGAGGTCCGTCGCGTTTTATACTTCGTCTTAGCAGTCGGTCGCGCACGACTCGTCAAACACTCGAGTGTGGCGGACTGGCTGCGCGCACGGCGCTATCTCGCAGCAACGATATCGGTCTCGAGGCCCTCTGGCACCATCTTCCTCTCCTCTTCTCTCGCCTTGGCACACTGCGACACGGGGCGCGCGAACGATCACCGCGGACGCGGCTCGCTTTCCCCGCACATTTGAGGCAATCACGGACGCCAGGAGGCGAGGACGACGAGATGAGTCGGCTCCGGGGCGGCCACCGCGCGCCACAGAAATTCGCTCGGGAAAAGCGATCGCGAGAGTTCCGCACCGCACGAGTATCGGCTAACGTAAAATGGCGGCTGCTGTTGACGAGAAGTTTTTCTACGCTTGTCAGAAAATGTCCGACTGGCTCCGTATGGTTGCCGTGACGGTAGACCGACCGTCCGATTGGCTCGACCGTTCACGTGACCCACTGCCCTCGCGCGATTGGCCGAGACATCGCGAGGCCACGAACGCCGTGGTTACAGTCACGCCGCCGGTCCAACAGCAACGAGGACTTCGCTTATTCCTCTGCCGCCATTTGATGATGGCCGGTCTCGCACGGTGGTTGCATGACGCTCTTTAGAACAAAGTCATTATTATTAGTTTCGCGACATTTCTTTGTTGAAGATCGGCAAGTCCAGTTCTATGTTAAAAGATCCTATTTATCAATGGTCACAGTACTGTCTGCGACAGTGGTTTTCAGAAGCTCAGAGATACGGCAAAAATACCCCAGTTTCGTTTGTTTCCTATTGCCGGAAATTATTAACACGGTAATTTGCGTGATTTATCAGTTTATACGTCGGGATAGGACTTTTGTGCATTCACTTATTAAACCTACATTTTACTCTGCTTTATTTCATTTTCGCTGAAATAGTATCCAGCTAGCCGTGGTACTCGCATATTCGGAGAAACTGAAACGTTTGATAAACGTATGGGTAAATTACGATACCATTATGGTAAGAATCATATATTTTATCGTTTATTTCCATTATATTCTACACTAATAATAATACACGGTATTCCTGCTAGAAATGATCGTTGAAATGTCTACATTATGTAATGCTATCGAATTATCGTTGCAGTAATGAGAATTCCTTGAGATGCCTTTATTTCTCTCTTTCATAATATTCATTATAATCTATTAATTTCGATAAAAAAGATTCGTCGTAGTGAACGATTATAGTGGAAACGGTATTTAGCATGCAACGCTTGTATCTTTTAAATAGATTAGTCTTTAGAACCGTAGAAGAACCCTTGGTACTTGAAAATATTTCACCGTACAGTTAGCAAATTTATTAAAATCATGAATGAGCACGGTCAACCGATTCAGTGTTACTAAAATGGCCTACGCCTCGTACTACTTAAGGCGGACTAAATTCATTTTACTCTCCTAGCGTTTTTTTCTTTTTTTTCTTCTATTTATTCAGTCGCTAAAATTCATACATCGTACACATCCGTTTGTCATACGGACGAGTACTTTCTCTTTGTTAATATCACAACAAATCGTTACATTGTCTGGTCAGATTGATGATCAACCTATTCGCTGTACGCGTGGTACATTCGTTTCCCCTGAAACGAAGGCCTACCCATTGCACGCACTATAAAAACTGTAATGAGTCGCGTTTGCCGAATTGTATTTACCGAGTCAAGAGTGTCAAAAGGGGATGTTGTTACAAGATGGCCAGGGATTCTCTCGATCGACAGGTTAAAAGGAAGAATGCATAGAAGGTGGGGAGAATGCGTTGCGCAGAACGTCCTCTTCTCGAGAAAGAGAATCCGACTCGTGTGGATAGGTGCGAACGGCACGCGACCCATCACACGCATATATTGTGCGTGAACTTGCTTCCATCTCCCTTTTCCTACACCTTTCTTCCTTCCTCTTCGGACCTCTTGCTCTTTCCCTCGGTCATGAGTTTGGCGTGCGCGAGCGCGCGCGCGCGCGAGTCTCCACTATGGTGTCAGATACAGGGAATTGTGTGAAGAAAGAGGTGAACACGGGAGGAGAGGGAGTATTGGAAATGGGACGGGAACTGGATGACGGCGTGGCAGCAGCTACCTAGCCATGTCAGTGACAGCGGCTCTTTGTCGAGTGTTACTTATCCCGCGTTGTTTCCTTCCGACAACGTAATCTCGACTTTTTTGAGGATCCATCACTTCATTTTTTTCGAAACCTAATGTATGCTTCTTTATAGGATTCTCTTTCTCGATTGCCGAGCGTTCCTAATCACGAATTATTCGCCGAAGATTCTTCGTTTCGATGCACGCCAGATGTAATCTACCGATTCTTTGCTTGTTCCGAATAGATCTTTTTTTCTTGGATTATTAACAGTTTTTTTCTTCTTCTGGGATTTGCCATTGGACTATGCGCAGTAGCTAAAGAGATCATCGCTGAAGTGACAGAGACGCTGAGACCATTCTATTTTGACAGGGTAGAAAACAAGTCACAAAAATCTGTTGATAGTTTTTATCCGAGTGTTACGTAATTACTTGCTGACCAAAACGTTTTAGTGTTACAATACCGTGTTTGCTATCGCCGCCTTTTCGCTTGTAATTTCTGTTCAGTTTGATTTTGGCATCGAGACACAGACGGGTTGTCGTAATATCTTTTCGTTATTGTTTCGTATCGGAAGAAAAGTCGGTGACTACGAGATTACGGTATCTAACAAAACTGCGCACCGATCGCGTATACTTCTATGACCGAGTGGAAATAAAAATATCCGTGAAGGGTGCATTGACCGATCTCTAACACAAGCCAATACGTTAATCTGCTTAAAAATCCGCTTGAAAGAAGAAACTTGCATCAGCGCGTATTCTGTTCTGCATTTTGATCATTACAAATCCGAGTGAGCTATTTTCACGTATTCTTTGACTCACTGATATCACAGTTGTTGTCTGTCATGATAACGAACGCAGTTTTCGTAATCTCACTCGGCGATACGATATAATTCCCTACGGTATTATTTGTAATAATTATAAGTTCGATCCGGTATTCATTTTAACGGACATATAGGTAGGAAACAATAAATTTAATCATGTACAAGGAGAATTAGATATCGGTACTTAAGGAATGAAATACAAAGTGTGTTTTATTTAAGGGTAAATTCACGAGAAATGGATCCAATTATTTAATACTTTTCATTCATTTTTAATAGGATAATGCAGGAAGATCATACTTTTAATTATTAGGGTAATCGTTAGTGTTCGTGACTTAGGACCCCTGAAGGTGAAGAACGTTGCGTTGTTTTGTAAAAATTAAACATTTTTTTCCCTAATTATAATACTAAGTAACAACGATTGTGGATCGAATATTCTATTATGAATAATTCGAATTTTCAAAGTAAGGTTACTTCAACGTATTAAATTGCGATAATGTCATTTAAGAAGGTATCAGAAAAAGGAAATAGAAATCGGATAACAAATTAAGGGAATCATTATTATGAATTAAAAAGACAAAGTCAATTGTAGTAAATCGTATAAAACTTTAATTATTCTAAAAAGACAAATGTATAACAACTTCATCAATCGTTCCATCGATTTTCCATCGTAAATCAGAGTCTAGCTATATTTGAATATGAGGCTAGAGCCACCCAGACTATATTTTTTATGTAATGCGGGCGTACAATTATCTCAAGTGTGTATTTATCATCATGGCTAATGATAGAAAAATGAATTATTTAACAAACTTCTAATAACGAATAAAGGAGAAGGAAATAAAATTTAATACGAGAGTAAAGTTAATTAATATTCGTTAAGCAAAGAAATATGAAATTGGAAGTATGATTTCTTGAAAGCATATTTTATCATCTAATAACAAAATAACCGAGTTTCTATTTATTAAAATTCAAATTGTAGTATGATGTAGTTCAAGGACTATGTAATTATAGCGCAATTTACATACGTTTCTTTATTTACATAATTATTCATGTAAAGTAATATGGTATATAAAAGTAATTGAATAACATCTCACAAAACCATAGTTATTGTTCGAAAAACGGATTCTTTCTTCGGTCAATGAAGAATTATACTTGAATTTAAAGTTTTTACAAATTTTTATTTTTATGTTTCATAGGTCTTTAACAATATTAATCTAAAATATACAAACAAGTAGAACTACGTTTTTATTAGGGTAAAGAACCGTTTTTAACGAAACAACAAAAATCAAAACTATCCATTAATAAATATTTTATAAACATGCCCACCAAGAATATCTTATGCACAATTTGAAATTAAACCAATATTGAAACTTAAATATTTGATGTTTAAAATACATAGTTATTACACTACACAAAAGGGGTGGGACAAATTAAGTACAAATGAGTGAAGGGACTGGTTTGAAAGGGACAATAGTTTACTATAAACAAAGATTGATATGAACTTTTGGTGTTGTGTTGTATAGTAATAATAATGTACCCAAACCTGTACCTTACAAACTGTCTACTCGCTCTTCTGGAATAATAGAAAATACATTTGGTTAACAATACATAACAATATCCAGAATTGATCGCATACAAGATTCCTGTTGATCAATATCTGCAATAATTAATATATGATTACTTCAAATTTTTTAATCATATTATTTAACAAAAGAAGTATAACAATATAGCTTGATATGAAGTAATATTTCTTGTATAATATGTATATAGGTGTACAATAATTTGTAATTATATAAAGTAAAATGTTTTAAATTTGGTCAAACACTTAATCTTTGCTTTAATGTGAGCAAACTTTTTTTTTATAGAAATTAGTATCATAAACGCATTAAAAAATATCTATTTTTATTGTTCAGAGAATAAAAATGAATAAAATATAAATGCTTGCAAACAACGTAATCCCTTATCGTGTACTGATTATATGGAAATGCAATCCGCGTTTCAATAACTTTAATTAAAATTTAAATTTCATTATAGTATTATTATATAAGAATACAAAATATTAATAAATGTAAACAATCATAAAATGGGTTATAAATATTTCTGGTTAATAGGAATGATATAGAAAAACTCTGGCATATCTAAACTGAAAATATTTTTTGCAATTAAAATCATTCAAATGTAAATATTTGATTCAAGTATACATAATATTTATATAAATTACAGTACACTGGTTTTTACCTTTGCATTAATTGACAGCTTAGTGAAAACTGTAATACAATTTTATTTCTCACAATTAAAACAGTCTAATTTCGTTCAATTATGAATACCTTTTTGCATTAACAACGCTTTTATTATACAATTAATAAATAGTACTCTCTCTCTAACAACATAGTTTAAAAACACGCATTTCAAGAAAACATCAAATTAATATATTTGTTGGAACCAACGCGAATTATAAATTAATTTATTATAAAAACCATATCTAATTAAATTATTGTTCAAATATTTTTAATTGCACAAAATAATTAAGATATTAGAAGAATGCAAGCGTTTTAAAGTTACATAACATATGTTTACATGTGTTCAAATAAATGCAAGCTTGTTACTTTGTACAAATTTAAAACAGATTTTATAAATAACTGAACAAGTGATTTGTCGTCTTACAAACAATACCATGAACATTAATAAGTTTTAAGTAGTCCCCAGTTTTAAACAATATCATTTTGTAAAATCGTATTAAAATGTAGTGTAAGACTTACCGAATATGTCGCACTTTCTATTCATATAAAAAAGACTAGTAAACCTGTCACTCTTTGTAGACTTTGCAATTGAATTTTAATGTAATCTTGTATAAAAAAACATTTGTATAATCGGGACTTTCAGGCTTAATTTATATCTGTATATGATGTTTTTAATAAGTATTGTTCGCAATGAATTTCCTCCAAAAATAGAACCTACATAAAAATTGGGTTGGAATTTTTGATAGATGGTATTATCTCGTTTTCTATAAGCTTAATGTCTTTATATGGAGAAATGTTGTATGCTGTTGTCATACAAGTACACAGAGTACTGCATCAACTTAATATTAAACTTTAAATGCGTGTCATATATGACACCATTCCATTAAACTTTATGGGTATCAATACATATATCATATGTACCCAATATTATGTGGCAAAACGTTAATGGTAGCATAAACAAAAATTTTGAATAATGGAATATAGCTTAAATTTGTCTTAAGCCTACAGCCAGTTTTAAAGATCTGTAAGAAACTTTTTGTACATATATAAGAACATTATACCATACAAGTATCCATATTCTTCGGCAAGTTGGATATTCAAAAAAACTTTTCTCATATAACACAGCATTTGAACATGATACATACTTCTAACTTGATCAAAAGATACCACTTCGCCTTTTATATTAATATCATTACTATGTAATAAAATATCCAGTTGAATGTTCTGGAATATATTTATGAGTCACAATTTTAATAGTTTCTTCAGCAATGGTGTGTGCGCAATATCCTCTTTAGATTGTTTTGTAATTGATGTACCATCAAGTGGTCAATCATTTTTGGACTTTGTTTCACTATCCTGATTATCAGACTTTGTCTCGCCCTCTTGTTGTTCCAGTTTTGATTCAGCCTCCTGTTGACTACCTTCATCTTCTTCATCTGAATAATTTGTAGGTGCTTCACCAGGTTTCAACAGTTTACCCACATAATCGTACCTTTCTAAAATAACAAATAATGTGCTTTACTTTAGTTCTCTAAATAGCAATAACATCCTACTGTATACACATTATAAATATTGATATTGCTTTTTATATCATATATATTTAATGTGAAAAGAAACATTACTGTTTCACATCTATTTAAACACGGTAACATACCTTGAAATTGTTCATCCCATTCTTTGACAGAATTCATTTCTCTGGTATTCAAATCACTGAGATCATCATATTCTTCTTTTACCGCTAATGAAAATGTTGCCAGGCCTCTAGTGGCATCTCTTCCACCAAACACTTCATATGGACCACCTAATATAAAAGCAATTCACGCGTAAAGTATAAGAATATTACAATTAATATTACTTTAATGTTTTGGTACTTTATTTAATGAATTCTTTACTAAATATACAAGTCTTATAACAAATTGTAAAAACCAAAAATTCACACTGTTTTATGTATTTATAATGTACACAAATATCTAACGTTAAATGCCCGTTGTCTAATCAAGTTTCAAAACCGATTACCTCGATCCCGTGATGCTTGCAAAACTTATTTCTGCATAATCTTCGAGTTCAGTGATAAGCGGCGCTCGACGACAATATGAATAAAGTAAAAAGCGAGCAAGAACTCAGGAAAAGAAGTTATAATTACATATCGAATGCATGTGTACATCAAATAAAAAACGTTGCGCGACCTATGATGTAAATGAGAAAAAAGTGGTTCAAGACCTACCAGGGCCATAAAAGAGAGCGGCACGGGTGCAATCATAAATATTTCCATTGACAGCAACTAATATTCGTCCGTCTGGTCCCGTACCGTTGTATTGTTTTAGTTCTTGCACGGTAAAATCGCGTCGTAACTTAGGCAATGTCTTTAATTCTTGCACAGGAACTTTTCTCTTCATCTTAACAATTTTGTAAACCAATATGCTGATTACACTTACAAGGACAAGATTTATCGGGTTTCTTATGATTTCGGAGATAAGACATGAAATGAATTGGTGATTTTTTTCAATAAATTGGTCGATAGTAGAGGTGGAACCCGGCGAGCCATCCTTTTCCGCCATTTTGACCACCAGTTTATGAGTTTGCCAAAAAATACGATGCTCTTTATCACCCGCTGCCCGTTAACTTTATTTTCTACGCGCGATCAAACCTTCCGAAAGAAACTTAGAATGATTCCTCGAGCGAACGGAACAATAATTTCCGCGATGTACGCTGAAGCAACTTGCGCGCAATCTCGACCATGTACTACTGACGTACCGGCACTGGCCGCACTCAGGCACCTACAGCGATCAGAATATATAGGGTGTTTAAAACTTGTAGTACGGCAAAAAAGAAGTGGTAACTATAATACAATGGAGGAAAGGGTTCGAAAAGATTGGAGAACTTTCTAATAGGATAGTTAATATCGAGATTAATTACTTAAATCTAAAGCGCAATTAAAACTGAAGTCAAATCAACTTGTATTATTCTCGGCATCTATTCTTTTTTTATGTATACTGTATATGAATAATAATTATTCAATCCAATATAAAAGTTATAAAGAAAAGAGACCAAAGGTGAAACACTATTTTTGTGCTCGGATTGTTTTGCGCGGAAGCATCTTTTTTTTTGAAAAACGCTGTATGTTTAACTCTACACACACGCACAGAAGCGTTTAATTCTTTTACTCGCTCGGTGGCATACTTTAAAAGTAAAACAATTTTACTTTTCGTATTCCGTGTTAATATATGCATATATCTGTATTATAGGAATTGTAATGTTAATAATTCTGGTAAATTTGTAGTAATCAACGGAATGTTTTATTATATTATTACGATTATCGTTGAAGCAAATGTCAAATTTAGGTCACATATACTTAGATTTCGATAATGATAACGTATTTTATCAATTTGCGACGGCTATGATGTAACGAAAATTTAAATTTATGTTATAACATGCACATGCAAAAACATTTTAAGGATATGCTACATTCAAATGTACGAATTAACATTGGTTTTCATGATAATTTATAATACCATTAGAAATTCGATTTCGCGTTAGTAGGGGAAATTAGTCGGATTTAATCGAATGAATTTAATTAAATTAACCATTTCTATAGTTGTAAAGGGCCTGTATAACAAAATTACTTTGTATCATGTGTGTAGCAGTTTTCTTGTTTCTTAATAAATTTAAGCGTGTCATCATTTGATTTCAGTTTTTCAAAGTCATGCCGTGCTGTCATACTTTATGTATATGTAGTGTAAGTTCGTGTGCTGGAATCTTGATAAGTTTAGCGTGTAACTGAAGTTTATCGTGTTAGATGTCGCTTTTATCCCATATAACGGTTTCATGAATTTGTAGAATTATTTAAATTTATATATAATTTTTCCTATTCGTCGTAACTTGGCGTCTTATACGTGTCTCGAACGAGAAATTATTCAGTAACGAAAATTGATAATCAAATGAATTCATTTGATATAAAAGTTACGAAACAAGTCGTTTTGCGCAGTGTGTTATGTCAATAATACATTTGATGATAATAAATTGATTAATGCAGATATGATAGCGGTGGCAGAATTGAGTCAATGGATAATTGCTTGAGACTAGTTTATTGAAGATACTATCTACATATTACACTCGTATATATGAGCATTAGTTGACTTGTACACGATGCTCTTTTATCCATAGAATATCTCACGGATAATCTATAGAATTATCTAGTAAGCTACTTGTACTTAATTGCGTTGTACTTATATTGGACGGCACTGTTTCATGAAGATAATTCAATACTTACATTGTAGGCACTTGTACTGAATTATACCTATCTAGTTTGTATAAAATGCATGTCGTATTTTCATAAGGAAAAGACCAAGATATGAAACACAACAAGTTTTTTTTTGAACTGGTTATAAATAAAAGTAAAAGCGATTCAGTTTACGCCGACGCTTTTTCATCTTGGAAATCCAGATAAGGTCGAATATTTAGAGTAGATGAGACCATGTTAACATCTACTTTCTCTGTACACATTGGACACACTCCTTCAGTTTCAATTATCCTAATATAGTAAAACAAATAGATATAGCTATATTTTGAAATGATTGTATATTTAAAACAAGAAACGTATACCTTAAAAATTCGCTTTTTATGGCAGGGAAATCACATTGGGGACACGTTGTAAAGTCATGTTCAACGATATGTCGTCCCTAGAAATGATACTGTAATTAAGCAAGAGATACATTAAACAAGTGCAATAAAAAATTTGATAAGAAACTAACTGTAGCTATACAGAAAGGTATTGTGTTCTTGCATTTATCACAGGTAATCTCAGTCTCTGGAAGTTTACTCTTGCAATAAGGACATGGAGTTGAAGGCTCATCTTCAATTTCATTATCTTTTGATTTCGGCGGTTTCCTAACGATTGCTTCAATTTTTTTACTATACTTAGCATCAATTTGGTTTCTATATTCGGGGCGCATTAACATAGCAGCGAAATTAAATGCTGCATTCTTCAGTCCTGCTCTTTGACATTCTATGACAGTAGAAGTCAAGATTGGAACAATATCTAAAATAATATTATTACTATTATTACTTTATACTTTTGCACACAGTATAATGTATCTAATTCTTTGTTTACTAACGTGATGGGAACTTCGATATGTTGTTGGCTACCCTTATCAACATACGAGCGCCGCGTAGGTGATCACTTTTCTTTACATGAAGTCTAACCAGAATGTACGAATGTAAAAGTCGCAAATTATTTTGCATTTCTAATGGTATAGTAATCTTATTTCTTTTCAATTCCTGGTACATACTAAACAATACATCGTGTGCATTCCTGTAATTTCCTGTTAAAAAATGTTTGTCATATGACACATGCAATTCTGAAAAATTGTATGTTACACGCACGTAAATTAAAAACAAACCATTAATTTGTTCTTCATTCGCTATGATAATCGCTGTTTTTGCAGCATCCCTATATTGTTTTCGGGCCATATACAATCGAAACAGGTACTTTGGATCCTATAAAGTTATAACGATACGATTAGACAATTTTTATATACCCGCGTAGTTGAAAGATATTTAATTACCTTTGGTAATCCGTCTCCACCCAATAAGAAGTCTATTAACTGATTTGCTAGTTTATCATCTTTCGAAGAAGCAACTGTATCAATGGCTAATGTTAAAACCTCATTTTCGTCTGTCATTAATTGAGCAGCTTTCAACAAATGCCGTAACGCTTTCTGATATTCTTTCGCATGAAAATAATATTTCCCGGCTAAGAGATTATTTTTCTGAGATTCAAAATGCATAGCGAGACTCCTAAAATCTTCCTTTCGTGCATTATCATCGTCGATTGTATTTATTAAGATTTCTCCATATAGTTCCATCTTTCCGTGTTGATTAGCTAACTGGAAAGCTTCGTCGTGACAATTTGACAAAATCAAAAACTTGATCGCTGAATTATAGTCATTCATTTTTTGGAAATATTTTGCTACCATTTTGGCGCCTTCCACACTTTTTGTTTGTTGCACTATTTCAACACTTCGTGCTGCAAATTTAAAGTTATGGATGTATATTTCAAGAATCATTCTTTTGAATCTATTAAACGATTAATAAGTTGGTTACCAGGGTTATTCAAATGATCCAGATTAATCCTAATTATATTTTCAAAATCTTTCGCAGTTTCGTACGCTTTAGCCGCTTCTTCGTATTTCCCTTCACTTTCCTTGGCTTTAGCATACTGTATGTTAATTTTGGCAGATGATATTTGCGGCAAAAGTTGCCCCACTTTTTGCCAATTCTTTAGTTTTATGTACGCAGACGCTGCTTTATCAAAATACTCGGCTTTCTCATATAAGAGTGCAGCTTCATTGAATTGCTATAAAAGTAGGAACATTGATGTAAGAGTTAAAACGTGTATACAGTATACACGTACCTTCATTGACTCTAGTATTTCTGCACATTCCTTTCGCAATTGTCTTGAACTTTCGTTGTCTACCGCTATGCTCACACCTTTTCTACTATCGCCGCATCTGATAGACATTCTGGCAATACCAGCAAGGCACAAAAAACGATGATGTGGATTATATACGGCTGTATTTAATGCATTAGAATCTACCAATCCACGTTCATAATTTGATAGCGCTTTTGGATAATTTCCCCTGTAGAAACCGCTTTTGTTAATCAAGTTATACTAAGTATATACATTATACGCGAGAAACTCTTACGTAAATTCCAGTTGTTGGGCATATTCTCTAGCAATATAAGGAATTTCATCAGCTTTTAGTCTCTGTGCTAAGTTCAGTGCTTGTTCCCATTGCATTAAATCCCTTCTTAAATATAGCGCTTGCACTGGTTCCGAAGATTGTAAGAAAAATTTTTCTGCTTGATTATAATCGCCAAGTAAAATACACGCATGGCCAGACAGTAATGACAGTTCATCTATATTTTCCATATTTTGTAATGCCCATACCATCGAGGCGTCTTCTATATGCCGATAAACACGTATTGCTACGGGTCAAAATAACTGTTCAGTAATTAAACATCGATCAAATTTATAAGTTTCATAGGGATATTTACCAAAATCAATATTCAAATTTGCAATTGAGCTCTCTCCTAATTTCAGCCAAGAGTCTTTCTCGTTGATCTTCTCGCAAGTATTCCATGCTTGTTGAAATCTGAAGCATAAGCAGCATTTTGATTTTGTTCAAATAAAATTGAACAAATAAAATTTTTACCTTCTGCATAAAATTTGATTCTCTAAAATTTGTTTCAGCTTTTCCGATTCTACGATATTTCCCGCGTCTTCGTGAGAGGACAACGTAATTTGAATTAATTTGTTGCTTATTGAACTTAACGTCAATTCACCAGAATACATTAATAATGGTAATGCATCGGACAGTAGCTTTGTCGAATTTATCTTTTCAATTTTTGTACCTATATAAAAAATGGTTTAAGAACATTTTTTAAAGTACTTATATTAAACTCTTTATTAGGAACTCACCTTCGATAAAATATTTTATGAATATATACGTTATAATGATATTTTTATTGTATACAGTGAATATATTGCGTTCTAAAATATTTTGATCCCATAATATTCCCTCTATGTAATCCGGACAATCGGGAATTTGTAAAACAATCTCGTGCATAGGATTGTACATATAAGCATCGGATTTGTTATCTATAAAACACAATTGTGTTCCATTTGCATCTAAATATATTTCCTTTATACCATTGCTGTGTAGATGCTCGGTACATTGATTAAAAAGTTCCAAGCAAAAGTAAACTATATGACCCATCTGAATAAATAATAAATCCAAGTTCACAACATTTAAGCCTGCATGTTTTTTAGTAGTTCATTTAAATTAGTGTTATGTAACTCACATCATTGGCATAAACCAAGAAATCCGAACTAAGGGCATGGCACGTTATTCTGCAATCTGAGGTATTTAAATCTGGGAACATTTTTGTGTCTTTCCTCTCCTTGGTTAGCGATTGGTCAACTTTAATCTATAATAACAATGCGTTACCACGTGTTCCATCTATTAGCAACCTGTAGTAGTAAACTTATATTTGACTTAGTGTACTTGTTACCGAATGCAACTGCAATTTCCCATCAAATAAAACTGAAACGTAGGTTTCGTTTAATCGTATGCTATCGATAGTTGCAAGATAATCCCTTTCAAAGTGCACTGTAGTATCATATGGTGTTTCAGATATGTCCCAAAACAGTGCTCTATTATTTAAACCAACTGCTACATGCATTGGACCTATTGCTAATACTGATGGTTCTATTATAGTGTTAATTATTACAGGTTCTGGCTTTTCCTGTTGAGCAGATTTGTATACATCTATATCTTGTGTACAGCCTACACTTTATAATATGTGTACACATATGTGTATACCTACCTTATCTAATGTGTAAAGATGCACTGCTACTTCAGTTAAACTGGTAAGCAAAGCAATCTTATTTCCACAAACACTGAATAATTTTGGAATTTGTATTAAATAGACTAATACATTTCCAGTATAAGTAACAGCTGCTATCATGGATCCATCAGTAGACCATTCAACCTTGCTAATTCCTGTTTCATTGCTCACTGTAATTAACTTTTCAGTTTCTTCTAAATTTTGTAGACTATGTATCTTTATAATGTTTCCACCACATGTTACAATTTTTCCTACTGCTTGACTTATTGTTAAATCTGTTAATGAATCTTTATAATTCTTAACTTGAAATAGTTCTTGACCCACTTCTTTAATGTGTGTAGATATTGCTGTGAAATATCCAGTTTCAAAGCCAACTAAGATATAACCGTCCCCATACCTAAAAACAGCTTATTTGTAAAGAGGTACAGCATCATTTATATTGATCCATTGTGTATAACTTTACCATTTATATGTAACAATAGGACCATAGCGTTTTTGAAAAGCCAATTCAATGGGGTTTTCTGGATCCGAAATATTATATAAGAATAAAGTGGTCTTACTAATGACAAGAGACACCTAATAAATGATAACAGATTAATATCTTGTATACGTATAGCTGTATTCTGTGTATTAAGTTAAGATAGGATAGTACCGTATTTTCACCCCCAATTCTATGATCCATCTTCATTTCATTAAACTGAATGTCTGATGGATCACCTTGGAGAGGAATTTCACGGCGTGTATCTCCATCACTTGTACTAATAGTTAAAACCTTATCTTCACTGGCAAGAGCTAGAAGTCCTTCATAAGACCAAGCACCGCATGTTATACGTCTTTTATGTTTTCCCAGAATTGGAGTTCGTCTATTAATTAATTAATTAATAACTTAATGTGTCTACTTCCTAAGCAATAAGTAATAATGTTCCAAGAATCAGAAAATTATGCATACTTGGCATTTATGTGATCATAAAGAACCAGGTTCCCCTTTTGTGTCCCTACAGCTAATAAGCAGGTCCTTTTTGCCCACATTATACATGTTAGGGTATCCCTTACACCAGCATCTATTTGTGATCTCTTTCCTGTTGTTGCATCCCATAATATGATAGTGGTAGAATTTTGTGATATAACAGCTAACAGATCTCCATCAGAGTCCCATCCAAATCCAGTACATAGACCAGATATCTGAATACGTTCTTGCAAGTTACCTTGTCTATCAAAAATAGCAACCGAAGAATCATAACCAGTGGTTGCTAAATGTGTGCTATTACCAGGCCGCCAAGAGATAAATACTGTACCAGAACCATGCGGTTGATACAACTGATATAGAACCTGTGATTAAACATTTGACAGCTTAATAAATGCTAGTGTCAAATGAATGTCTTTCCTTTGTATTCGAAGTTTATCAGACGCAGGCATAGAGTATAATTTCATAATTTTACCACTTATGATAATTTAATAAGAAAGGTGAGAAATATTTCTTTGTAGCAATTTTATTAACACATAACCTACCTTTTCAGTCGACATATTTTTAAGGGTAAGATTTTTTAGCAATACAATCGTGATGGCTAAACGCCTAATCGCATAGAGGAATGTTGCGACGGCGCATAGTTGAAGTATTGATTCATTAGCTTCTGTTTTTCACGTACATTGTTGTATCTGCCTTGTCTGCCATATTGTTTATATTTACGGAGTTTTTCCGATCAATTTCAAAATTGTTTGACGCCTTGTTGCGATCGGTAAATGACAGATAGCGCCACTTACTGATACCTACGTGTTTTTTCCAACGACATTATGATGGCGCTGGCGCGATGTTCAATTACATCGTCTAATTTATTTACTAGACCATTAACGATTTACGATATCTCTATCTTAATTTCCCGGTGATAGTTGGAACAATCACAATGGTAAGAAAAAATTCAATCGAATATGTTGTTAAAACAGGGCAGAGAACACTAATGAGTTAACAAGTAGAACGACCATACAAATATAATAAAAGACGAATCGAAACAATTAGCGTTCAATTAACGGAATTGAATGTCAGTTTCTCCAGCGAATAAATAAAACAAGAAATACCGAAAGAGCACGGGTGAACAGAAATTGTCTCGTTATAAAACACAAATCGGGGTAATAAAGAATACGAGAATCTGAGGCGACGAGTAAGGACCAATGTGTAGAGTAAATTATGTCGTCGTTATTTGAACATGATCGGTTATTATTTATCGTCGAAAAATTGCACGTATCTTGCAACTCGTGATACAGTAATTATAGTACAAAAGGTACTAACGATAATCGCAGGATGATCTATGATAGTAACTAAGAATGAAAGGAGATGCATTGAACGTCGAGCAATGACTAAAACGTGTGTACAAGGATTTTTAA